GAGTCCCCCTACACCGGGAGGGGAAAGAGATGGGTCTGCTGGTCCCATCCTGCTCAGTGGCAGTATTTAAGGAGGAGGCAGGCCCCAGAGGGATGCTGGGTGATGCACCTGGGCTGGCTAGACCTGAGACAAGGACTCTAAGCCTGGGAGAGAGGCAGCAGAAGGATTGGATTCAAAGAGACCACAAAGGGGCGGCCGGTTAGCTCAACTGGTTAGAGCGCAGTGCTCATAACACCAAGGTTGCCTGTTCGATCCCCACATGGGCCACTGAGATGCACCCTCCACAACTGAATTGAGACAACTACTTGAGTTGGAGCTGATGGGTCCTGGAAAAACACACTGTTCCCCAATAAGGGGGAGGGAGGGAGGGAGGGAGGGAGGGAGAGAGAGGGAGAGAGAGGGAAAGGAATGTGACAGCAGGCTTCTCAGAGGAGACCACAATAGCCTGCGAAAGTCCCCAGGACATTTGTAGATGACCAGGGAAGGCGTTTACTATCTGGATGCTCAGAGTCAGATTCAAATTGATGTAAGTGCAGTATTTATTATGCACCTGGGTTTTCAGCCCGAGATTAAACCCGACTTCATGCCAACACTTAAAATAATACTGCCCCACAAGCATTAGCAGGAAATAGACAGAAACCTCCCATGCCCGTTACCTCTGACTTCAGCCCTGTTAAAGGGGCATTTACAGCACTTGCATCTACCTCCCTTCAGCTCCCCAGAGACCCTCCTGGGTGGGCCCTGAGCTGTGCTCCTGGGTAGACATGTGGAAACTCATGCCAAGGCTGGGAAAGGCAGAGCTGGGAATCAGAGATCACTGCAGTTAGTTCCATGGACAAGAGAGAGGTCTGGAGGGAAGGCCTGCGGGTGTAATAACCCCATTCCTCTGTGACAGCCCCAGTAAAGAGGAGGCGGGAGGGGAGGGGAAGCCAGGTCTGAAGCCTGGAATGCGAGCCCAGGCACTTCTCCCACAGCGACGGATGAGGAAAAGAACATGACAATAGTTGTGTGTAGCAGCGAATTGACAGAGGCAAGAGTGACGAGGTGGTCAAGCCCTTGGGATGGCAGGTATGCTGGGTATTGAAAAGCTTCTCTGGGCCTGTCAGGGACCCACAGCAGACTTCCTGCTGAAGGTTCACCTGTGTAAAGCAGCATCTGGAGTCAGGCGGCCTTCAAGGGGTGGGTCAAGGTACTAAGATGCACTTAGGAGTGTCAGAACCAGAAAAGAACTTCGGGGTACCAGCATTGATTAAGCCCTGTTATGTGAGGCTGCTTCACACCCACACAGCCATCATCATCATTTTTAACTGGTTCCCGTGTTAAAGATGAGGAAACTGAAGCAGTGGGATTAAGACCCAAGAGTCCCTTGGCCATGGCACAGATTTAGAATAAGGTGACCTGTAAACACGTCTACTATGACGACTTTGAAAGCAAAGAGCAGGATGCTTTGACTAAAAATAATAAGGGAGTCTTTCTTAGGATAGACCAGGGGTCGGCAAACTTTTGAGACTGAAGAGCCGCCAGGAGTCAGCAAACTGTGGCTCGCGAACTGTGGCTCTGAAGTAAAATTGAAAATGAAAATAAAACTATCATAGTTTCATTTATAAATTTTTTACAGGATATTATTCATATAATGGTGATTATGTAAAAATATACCTATGGCTCTCGAATAATTTTTAAACTGTTGTGAGGGGAAGGATTGGCTCTTTCAGGGGTCGGCAAACTTTTGAGATAGAACATACCCAAAGAGCCGCATGTGACTCGCGAGCCACAGTTTGCCAACCCCTCAGATAGACCAATGAGGGACAGTCTTCCTGAGAAAGAGTCATCTCAGCTGAGACCTGAAGAAACTGGCCAAATGAAGAATGGAGAAAACTTCCAATGAGAGGGAACAGCAGGTGCAAAGGTCCTGTGGCAGGAAAGAATCTCACATGTTCAAGGAACTAAAAAATAACCCGTGTGTCTGGAGCATTTTGAAAGAGAAAAAAAGGAGAGTGGGGTTCAAGAAGACACTAGATCACACAGGACCTTGCAGGCCATGGCAAGGAATTCACATTTCATCCTATGTGTCAGGAGAAGCCACTGGAGGGATTCAATGCCAAGATGACACGGTCTGATTTACCCAGAGTCTAACACAGAGTATGTCACACTGAAGGAGATCAGCAAAACGTTGTGGAGCATCTGAATAAATAGACTCAAACTAGGACTTTCAAAAGGGTGGAAACTGCTGGTTTTAGAGAATGCAAACTAAGATTTCAGGCTTTGCCCAGGAGAAAAACAAACAATTTCGCCTAATCCAAATTCACTTTCAAGCCTCTCTGCCCAAGAAGCACGCAGAGCCGCCGAAATCCACAAGCACATCATGACAGAATAATTTCAGAGATCATTATCAGATGCCTCTATTTAAGAAAAGCTCAGAAGACTGTATTAGCACAATCCAGTATTTATGAAATGACACTCTGCTGTAATGAGGGGATGAGAAAATTAAGATTAGAAGCCAGCGCCGTCCCTTTGGGGAGAGAGTGTGGGCTGGTGGGAAACGCAGCAATGTCACTCGGCTCCTTGGAACCTTGCTTCTTCTGATCTGTAAAACGGAAGGACGGTAACAAGGACTAAAAAATGTGTGATCGGTTCCTAGAGGGCCCAAAGGCATTTAATAATGTTTATCATTCATTTCTTCACTAAGAAAATACGTGAGAAATCCATTCATCCATCCAACCAAATGTTATTTAGTCCATACGGTGCATGACGCACTATGCTGAGCACTGACAATACAGCTGGGAACAAGATCACCATGGTTCCCCTTCACATGGGACTTCTCGCCTGGGGTAAAACATACATAGAACAGGTAGCATCAGCTGTGGTGTGTGTCACTGAGGAAAAGTGCAGGGTGTGATGGGAAATATTTGCAGAAAGAAGTGACCCAGGCTGGGGTATCTCAGGAGTGCTACCCTGAGGAAATGGCGTTTACGCTGAGACATGAAGGAGAAATACAAGAGAATTGGGTAGAGGGAAAGGTGCCATGGACAGTGCCAATCTTTTGTGAGTTCCTAAGGCAGGAAAGGGCCTGGGGCATTCTGGGAACTGACAGAAGTCAGCGGGAAGTGAGCGTGGTGGGGGAGTGGGATGTGGTGGCTGGAGATACAGGAAGGACCAGCCATGTGGGGCCTTGGAGGCCACAGCAGGGCTTAGGTGTCCTGTCTTAGGGCACTGGGGAGCCTCAGAAGGATTCTAAGCAATGCGGGACAACAAAGGAAAAAGGACAGGTCTATATTCTAGAAAAATCTCTTTGGCTACTGTGTGGACAGAGGATCGAAGTCAAAAGAAGGAAGTCAAGAAGTAGGTTAGAAAACCTTCCAGTTGTCCAGGCAAGAGCTGATGCTCTCCACCAGGGAAGGGGTGGGAGAGATGAAGAAACCTGAGCAGCTTGAGATGTATCAGGAGGTCAAGCGGGTGATAGGAGGAGGGGCTAGAGAGGGGAGAGAGAAGTGAGACCCCCTGGGTTTCAGAATCAGCACCAGAGTGGATGAAGTGGCCTTTCCAAAGATAAGGAACTGGACAGTAAGTAGACAGAGAAGAAGAATGGATGAATCAAGAGTTCAGTTTTGGGGATGTTGAGTTTCCAGAGCCTATAAGAGCCTACGGGGCTCCAGGTGAGCAAACAAGGAACAGAAAGAGCACATGTGGGCATGTAAACACACACAGACACACTTGCACACTCTAAGATCTGGATTCATTTGGCCACCATCAGAGATGACCCCAAGATCACTCTTGGCCAAGGTGGCAAATTAGATTTTTAAAAATACAATATAGTCAATAAAAATTTAAAAATGACCCCCGCAGAGCAGACGTGGCACGCTTCAACACAGGTCTCTGGATTTTTGGGGTCCCCAATGGAATGAGGGATACTATCATTTACACCAAGACACTTTGAAGAGTAACAATGATGGGCAACAGGCACAGAGCTTGTCCCACGGTCACCTTAGTAATGGGCATGTTGGTGACTCTGCTCATGCCAAGGAAGATCCGGCCAGATCTGAAAAGCTTGATTTTGTATCATTGCACATCTTTATTATACTTGGGACTCACATCTACACTCAGGAGAAACTTAGACAAACAATTTATGTATCCCCTTAATAAGAACTATACAGAGCCATCTAGTAGCCTTCTGCTTTGGAGCCAAACTTAAAGCCAATGAAGCCACAAAGACCATGGCCTCCCCTGGATATCTCTGAACATCTTCTCTGTCTTCAGCTTAGTGACATCCTAGAAAATCCCCCTCTCCAAGATCAGCTGAGGAGACATGGCACAGGGGTCGTGTAGGTCTAGTGTTCAGAAGAGATGTCTGAGGGCAGCTGAAGCCATAGGAGTGGTTGAGGTCGTCCCCGGGGGTGATGGTTGATTCTATGTGTCAACTTGACTGGGCTAAGGGATGCCTGAACAGCTGGTAAAACATGATTTCTGGGTGTGTCTGAGAGAGCGCTTCCAGAAGACATAAACATTGAACTGGTGAACTCAGTAAAGAAGATCGCCTTCCCAAGCGTGTGTGGGCATCATTCAATTCCTTGAGGGCCCAGCTAGAACAAAAAGGCAGAGGAAGGGCAAATTCTCTCTCTTCATGAGCTGGGATGTCTTCTGCCCTCCGAGCTGGCACTCCTGGTTCTCAGGCTTTCGGACTCAGATCAGGGTTCACGCCAACAAGCCCCCAATGCTCAGGCCTTCGGGCTCAGATCAAATTCCACCACCAGCTTTCCTGGTTCTCCAGCTTGCAGAGGGCAGAGCATGGGGTTTCTCCACAACTGTGTGAGCCAAATAACAATACCACGTTCTTAACAATTCACTCAGCTTTGGCTTGCATACCTCCAGGGATGGGGAACTTACCACCAACAAAGTTATCTATTGTCTTCTCAGACAGCTCAACCCATGAGAAAGTTCTTCCCTGTGAGTCATCAGAAAAGATGCCATCCCCATCACAGCCCCAAACACAGAGGGTCACCTACCTGTGGGCACCGCTGGGTCCAGCATTGGTTTCTCCCACGTGTTAATCTGCTCCCAGGTAAACCCATTGGTCCCCAGGGCCACGCTATAACCACAGTTGCTGTAGTGCTCATCAAAGGAACAGCCGCCTGCAGACAAAAGAGATATGAGTAAATACAACCTCGTGTCTGGAGCTTGGTTCGTTACTCCTGTCTCATCGGCTCTTCATTTACAGCTTTGAATTTTAAACTCTGAAGAAGGTTTAAAAAAAAAAAAACAGGCAAGCAAATTGGATTTTTATATTTGCTTTGGTGCTCTCCGGAAAGGCGCTGGCATCTGCAGGCCCCCCTATTTAAAAAAGTTAATAAGGCTAGTTACATTGATTTCAATCTTTCTTCCCGAGAAAGTAAACAGCAGCGTCTCATTCTAAGCAGGAAAAATGAATGCCGGGGCATGCTTTGGTAAACGTTCCCTGCAACAGGGAGAGAGGCTCAGAGGCTGCAGGGAGCACTGGCTTCAGAGTCCAGCAGAACTAGACACAGATCTCAGCTTTGCAAAGCTGCGTCAGCTGGGGCCAGGGGCTTCAGCCATCTGTGTCAACTGTGCTCCAGTTTCTCCCCCTGTTGTGTGGAGGGAAAGACCCACCTGCCAGAAATGTCATGAGGATTATATGGAATAACATATGAAAAAGTAACTGGCACAGAATCGGTTCTCAATAGCCACCTCCTTCCCCATCAGAGCTATTTTTGAAAAATCATTTTCATAAAGTAAAAATCAACTGTGTGAAGGCTTAGACAATCGTGCACCTGGCAGGTAATAAAGTCAAAGCCAATAGTGTTGAAAGCACCTCCCTTTAAAGTCCAAGCGACCGCCATTTCACAATAAGCTGTGTCAATTTGATTTTGACAAGAATTTACTGAGCATACGCTATGGGCTGCAGGCCTATCTGGGTACCACTGGAAATACTCCATACAAACAGGAGCTCACGATCTCTTGCAGGGGGAGAAGTGACCAAGGCTGCAAAGGATGCGAGCATCTCCATGGGCACAGAGCAGGGTGAAGGGCATTCCAGGTGAACTGGCAGAATACACAGACGCAGGAGCCTCCTCACTGGTCTCCTGGACCCCACTGCATACCCCGGTCCATCCTTTCCACTGCCTCCTTCTTATCTCCTTGATGCTCAGATCTCATCACCACCATCTCCCTCCCGTAAACACCCATTGGGTTCCCATCACATGTCCAAACAGGGTTCTGCTCGATGTACAGAAACCCCCACTAGCCCCTGCCTGTGTCTGCGCTCTCACATAACATGGCCATCGTCTCCATCAGCGGCAGAGGACTAATCCCTTCTCTGCACCCCACACCTGGATTCCCTCTGCATACTGGGGGTAGAAGTCCTGTTGACATTCAATACAGAATATGGTCACAACACCGCTAAAGAGAACCTGTGATGTCAAAGCTTTCCCCACCTCCCTTTCCTGCTGGGTAGGGGAACCCAGAAGAATTGGTCTTTAGCACCTCAGTCAGGCTCGGGCTGGGAGCGGGAGGGGTGGACTTGTTTTGAGAAGTGAGTTGAGTATTAAATTTCTTGGCACCTAAAACAGAAATATGGGGTGTTTTATGTAGACAGCTCGAGAGAGAAGGAAATGAGAGTGAGAGGGAGGTCTTAGAAACCCCATGAAAAGCAAGAACCTACAGAAATTAATGGCTGGTGAGAAATTTCCTGTGGTGGGAAGTGGTTGATGCATTGGTAGGAACTAAAATATGTTTGCTCTCATTTATTCATTCAATAATCCTACAATAATTTAACTGGGCACTTAGCAGAGACTAGGTCTTAGCTATGTGGTGGTTTACAAAACAGGATGCTGTCACTATTTAGTCAGACAGACTAACAGTCAACAAGTAAACTAATAAGGAATTACGCTATGAAGGCTGCGGCTGGGGTAGGTGAGAGGATTGCTAAGTTGGACTGGTCCAGGAAGCCTTTCTGACCATGAATTAGAAACTGTGTCCTGTCCTATGCTGTAATGTCCCCCCACTACACCCAACTCATCAGTGACAGCTGGCTACACACAATAGCCATGTGTCACTGGTGCTTTGGGGAACTCAGGGAAGAGGGGTCATGACCAATGTGGATTGACATAGGTCAACAGGTGAGGATGGAAGGCCCAGGAGACAAGAGGAAAGGTTAGGAGCAGGTGACAGAGGGGACTTCATCCCAGATATAATGGAGAAGGATGACTTTTGAAAGGCAAAGAGGGAGGCGATCAACCAGCTTCCATTAGACAGTAAAGTGGGAACAGTTCCGGCACATAGTAGTGGCTTCTTAAACATCTGGTGAACGAATGCACCAATAAATGCTAATGGAACGCCGGACACAGACCAAGCTGTACGCAAGCAACCCTGGGCCCACACCAGTCCCCCAGCTCGACCTGCTCTTTCGAGTCTCATACTTGCCACTTCCTCCTAGAAAGCTCCTTCCCACATTGTCTGTCTGACAAATTCCCGATGACACAGCCAAAATCACCTCTGTAACTCTCCTCAGACCAAAACAGCAGAGTGAATGTCCCAGATATGAAAACACAAAGCACTGCATTTAAAATTTAAAAAACAACAACAACAAAAAACGGTAGCAGCAGCATTTCTAGGGGCTCTAAGAGGGTCAACCTCATTTCCCAAAAATGGCATCAGGCACCTCACTGGAGCCCAGGCTGCGGGAGACAAATGAAGGCGGTCAAGGGCATTGACAACAGATTCTGACGTGCTGGAAGTGATCAGCAAGGACAGCCTGCAGCATCTCAAGTGTTCGTTGAAAGAGTGGACTGATAATCCTAAGCTGACCTCAGCAGCCTCCAGGGCTAGAGACAGTGTGGCCAAGGCAAGGCTATGTGGCCTGCCAACTGTTTGGGTCTTCTCTCCAATGCATACAAGAACACCGTGCTTCCAGGCTCCCCTCCATCTGGGTAGACCACGTGATAAACCCTAAAATATGTAACCAAGTGATATCCACCACTTGCAGGACTAACCCATAAAAATAATCCCTTACAAGCAACCCTTCTCACCTGCAGGCTGTGAGGACCTTCAAAGCTGTAGTTGAAGGTGGTGGCATCAAGGGAAGAAAGACGTCTAGATCCCTGAGATGCTCATTGGTGGACAGCCACCCTACGAGTCACCTAATCAAGAATATCGGCATTCGGCTTCTCAGGAGCAAAACGCCAACGTTTCCTGTTTTACACCACTGACATTGTAGGGGCTAGGTGTTACCACAGCGGAGCGTGCACATTCTGACTACTATAAGAAGTTATAGGGGGTGACCGGTTAGTTCAGCTGGTTGGAGCATTGCGCTGATAACACCAGGATTGCCGGTTCGATCCCCGCATGGGCCACGGTGAGCGGTGTCCTCCTTAAAAGAGTCAACTATGCCATTGTAGCATGAAAGCAATGTGTAACCAATGACCATGGCTGTTCCCCAATAAAGTTTTTTTTTAAAAGAAGAAGTTATATTAGTCAGAAATTATACCTCTCAAGCATCTTCTCCCTGCCAGACAATACACTACTAGGAAATGACTACATACGCCATCTCATTGGCTCGCACTTAATTCTCACAGCTTTGTGAAGCAGATTTTCATCCCTACTTTAAATATAAGGTACAGAGAGGAGAAGAAAGAAAAGGCCAGCTGCCCCAGGACCCACAGCATCGAACATTCAAACCCATGATCCTGAGCCTCACTGTAGTTCTTCTTGCTTCTTTCAAAAATTATGTTTATCTGTCTTGGTGCAATGCTTTGGGGCCATAACATCTGACAGAAAGGCTTCTGGCCATCTCCGTAGGTGCCTGTGGCAGGCGACTTGCAGAAGATATATGGTGGGAGAGACCCCATGACACTTATTTGGTCACCCACCTCACTCAGTTCTAAAGAGTAAGCAACCCCACTGAACTGATGGCAACCCCATCACAGTCATTTTGGGGAAATCAAAAGCCATCTAAACCTTCCTAGAGTGGGGACTCTAAGAATTGGGGTCAGCCTCCAGACCCCACGTCCTGGTTTGGGGAAGACCTACATAATTGAGGGAAAACGGGGCAGTGAAGCCACAGGCCAAGGACCCAGCACTACCTCCCTCATCCGGACTAAGGAGCTATTTCCCTGGACAAGCTGAAGTCAAAATGTGCCAAAGGCCCCAGATGCTCCGAGGCGAGTCAAGCATAAAAAGTCAACAGAGAAATGGAAAATTGTAGCAAGGAAATTGGATTTTGAAAATCCATTTGGGTTTGGTAATGTATAGCATATCAGCATCTGTAAGGGAAGTAAAAATAGTAGAGGATACATACTTTAGGATACATTAAAGCATAAATAAAGTTTATAGCGCCAATCAGAATTTTTTTAAAACATGAGCTCTTCTTTTGAAAATGAGAGAGGAATAGAATTCAATAAAAATATAAATGTGTCTGCCTCTGCATTTCTGATATTATCCTGGGTATTCTTGAACAGAATTAAGTACAGAGAAGGAACTAAAGATTTGTTGGGCTTCTGCTTATGCCAGGCACCATACTTGAGCTATGTGGGTATGTATTTATGTATGTATGTATGTATGTATGTATGTGAAGTTCTAACACCACCATTCTCTAAAATAGGGGTCAACATGCTTTTTCTGTAAAGGGCCAGATGGTACGTATTTTCAGCCTTGCAGCCACACAGTCTCTATCACAACTACTCAACTTTCCCATTGCAACGTAAACGCCGTCATAGATAACAGGCAAACAAATGGATGTGGCTCTGTGCCAATAAAACTTTATTTATAAAAACAGGCGGCACGCCAGATTTTACCCAGGGGCTAGTCTGCCAACCCCTGCTCTAAAAGAGAAGCACTGCTCTCTCCATTTTACACATGGGAACTTGTCATCAAAGCTATAAGGGACATGCCCAGCTAGAGACCTCGGGGGACAAAGAGTGACATCACAGGCAGCAATAAGAACAGTGACACCTCTCAGCCATAAAAGAAAGATTTGCAACAACATGGGTGGATCTTAAGAATATACTAAGTGAAATAAGTTATGCAGAAAAAGATAAGAACCATATGACTTCACGCACATGTGGGATATAAAACAAAAAGCAACAAACGAACAAATGAAACAAACAAAAAACAAACT